TCCCCTTTTTTTGTGTTTCCCCTTTCTGCTGTGTCCCCCCTTTCTGCTGTGTCCCCCTTTTCTGGGTGTCCCTTGTTTGGTGTTCCCCCCTTTTTGCGGGGTCCCATTGTTGGTTTTGTTCCCTTTTTTGCTGTGTCCCCTTGTTGCTGTGTCCCCCTTTTTTGCTGTGTCCCCTTGTTGTTGTGTCCCTTGTTGTTGGGTTCCCTTTCTGCTGTGTCCCCCTTTTTGTTTGTGTTCCCCTTTTTGTTGTGTCCCCTGGGGTTGTGTTCCCCTTTTTGTTTTTGTTCCCCCTTTTTGTTGTGTTCCCTTGTTGTTGTTTTTCCTTGTTTTTGTGTCCCCCCTTGGGTTTTTGTGTCCCCCTTTTTGTTGGGGTTTTCCCCCTTTTTGTTTTGTCCCCTTTTGTTGGGTTTTTCCCCTTTTTGGTTTTTGTTCCCTGTTGTTGTGTTCCCTTTTTTGTTGTGTCTCCCTTTTTGCTGTGTCCCCCTTTTTGTTGTGTCCCTTGTTGTTGTGTTTCCCCTTTTTGTTTGTCCCTTGTTGCCCGTGTCCCCCTTTTGCGGGTCCCCCTTTTTGCTGGGTTTTTTCCCCTTTCTGCTGTGTCTCCTTGTTGTTTTTGTTCCCCTTTCTGCTGTTTTCACCTTTTTGTTGGGTTCCCCCTTTTTGCTGGGGTCCCCTTGTTGTTGTGTCCCCTTTTGTTGTGTCCCCCCTTTTTGTTGTTTCCCCCTTGTTGGGTGTGTTCCCCTTTCTGCTGTGTCCCTTTTTGTTGGTTCCCTTGCCCGCTGTTTTTCCCTTTTTGCTGTTTCCCTTGTAGCTGTGTCTCTTGTAGCTGGTCCCCTGGGTTTTTGTGTCCCCTTTTTTGTTTTTGTTCCCTTGAAACTGTGTCCCCTTGCTGCTGTGTCCCCCTTTTTGTTGTGTTCCCCTTTCTGCTGTGTCCCCCTTGTTGTTGTGTCCCTTGTTGTTGTGTCCCCCTTTCGCTGTGTCCCCTTGTGGGTTTTGTCCCCTTGTTGTTTGGGGGCCCCTTGCGGGTGTGTCCCCTTGGGTTTTTTGTGTCCCCTTGTTGTTGGGTCACATTCTGGAACATCCCGGGCTCGGCCACCTTTTTCGTTCCTTCAGTATTTTATAAATCGTTATCATACGTGGGTGTGGTGTGGGACACCCAGTTGTGGTTTTAGGGGTCCCATTCCCCAGCTCCTTTGGGCCCCGGGGCGAGTCCCCAGCTTTGGTTGTGTTTTTGTTTTGTGTGTGTATGTTAGTTTTAAAATATTTATTAAACACCTCTACCCAATTTTTGTGGGTGGTAGTCAAAAATTACAGAGGTGATAAAGGGTCCGGGGGCGTACCTCAAAAATTACAGAGGTACTAATGGGGCCAGGGACTGTACCTCAACATTACAAAGGTAAAATAATGGGGCCCGGTTTTCAGTGTAGTAACGTAGTAAACCCGTTACCCGTAAATTTAGTAGTAAATAAGTAGGAACCGGGTTTCCAGTAACCCGTTTTCCCTTGACTCACGACAACCCTTTGAGTCACGGGGCTTCATATTGTGCTTGGGGCTGGGCCCCCTATTTTCAAAAAACCCACTGCGGGGTATGGAGGCCCCCTAGCCCCGTGTCCCTAAATCAACAGCAGAATTTACAAGAGTCCCCAAAATTTCTCGAGTAAAGCCATCCAAAATCAAAATAGGTTCGAGAGTTATGCGACTAATTTTAACAAAACGTTTTTGCTTTGCCAAAGCTTGATCAAAGGTTTTTTGGTCCTTAAACGAGTAGTTGAAAATATTTACTGGTAAAAAGTAAAGGTTAGAGGATTATACCGGTCAGTATAAAGAAAGCAAATTTTGGGTCATATGAAGTTAGTATTTTGAAAGATAATGATGTTTCCCAAACCCGGGCTAATGTGAAAAGCTCTGCAATCCTTGTTCCCGTTTCTCTCTTCCTCTGATAAATCAGTCAAAACGACAACTTTAAGTCGTTATTCCCTGTACACGAAAGGATTTAGAAATCCTAAGTATCATTTGGGAACTTCCAATTCAGATTTGCCTCCCAAATTTCAGCTGAGTTAGCCAATGTTTCGGTTTGATCCCCCCAGAGATGACCCCATTCTGCTTTTGCCAATCTTGCCTTTTGCGGGTTTGGGGTTTAAAAGTTAAAAAAACCTGTATGATGAAAATTACAGTATTAAATTATCAGTATTCAAGAATTTTTTTTTTTTTTGTTTTATGTTTCTTTCCCCCATTCTGAGAGGTTTTCCCGTTTTAGATTTGCGTGCAAAAAAAGAATCTGCCTTTCTGTTTTAAAAACTCTTTCTTTGTATATATTTTCCCAAAATCCGTGAAACAAATTTAATACAGATTTGATCGATCCAAAAAATTTTTTTTTTTATCCTTTGTAATCTCAATGTTGAGTTCGTTGTTTTATTTGTTGAGTTTTAAGTTGTACTTTAAATTTTACCCTTTTATTTTCATTTTCAGTTTCCCTTTCGTAAGTTTCATTCCAATGTTCTACTTTGTATCAATTTAAAGTTTCATGTTGTGACTTTGACATTGTTAGAAAACAGCCCAAGCCGTATAACCCTGCCCTCTCTAGGGTTTTTTATTATTTTTATGTCGGGGGGACATCCCTTTTGCTCGCCGAGCTTCAAATAGTAGTAAAAGTAGTAAACGTTACCCGTAAATCTCAGTAGTTAGTAACGTAGTAAACCCGTTTTCCAGTAATTGTAGTAGGGAAAGTAGGGAACCGTTACCGTAACCGTGTCCCTTGATCACGAAAACCCAAACCCTCTTGAGTCGTCTTCAATTTTGCTGGCTGACCCCTATTTCAAAACACCCCTGGCCCCCGGGGGGGGCTGGCCAGCCGCCCAGCCAAATGTTCGGGGTGGAAGCAAGGAGATAGGCCCCGGCTGGCCCAAAGGGGTCGTTTCCCCATAAAAAGTAATTACAGTAAACAGCCCCAACGTGGTATTTTTACCCCAATCCACGTATCGAACTCCCAATGATACAGGGACTGTACCTCAATATTACCCGAGGTACATAATGGGGCCCGGGACTGTACCCCAACATTTCAGAGGTACATAAAGGGTCCCGGGAGGTACCCCAACATTACAGGGTTCATAATGGGGGCCCGGGACTGGACCTCAACATTACGAGGTACATAATGGGTCCAGGGACTGTACCCCCTAAAAAAATTACAGAGGTACCTTTAAAGGGTTTTTGGGACTTTACCCCAACTTCCGGGAAAATAATGGGTCCCCGGGACTGACCTCAAAATTACAGAGGTTTCATAATGGGGCCAGGGACTGTACCTCAAAATTACAGAGGGACATAAGGGGTCAGGGGCTGTACCTAAAAATTTCAGAGGGGACATAAATGGGTCCAGGGGGCTGTCCCCAAAAATTACAGAGGTTTCATTAAAGGGTTCCCGGGGGCTTTTACCCCCAAAATACGAGGTTTTTAATGGGTCCAAGGGGCTGTTTTTTAAAACCCTTTAAAAATTACAGAGGTACATAGTGGGTCCAGAGACTGTACCCCAACCCTTACAGAGGTACATAAAGGGTCCAAAAAGGGCCCGTACTCAACATTACATAAGTACATAAAGGGTCCAGGGGGCTGTAACCCCAACATTACGGGGGTGCATTTAAAGGGTCCAGGGACTGTCCTCAACATTACAGAGGTTTTTTTAAAAAAAAATTGGGGCCAGGGACGTACCTCAACATTACAGAGGTAAAATAATGGGTCCCGGGACTGTACCTAAAATTACAGAGGTCATATGGGTTTCCCGGGGGGCTGTACCTCAACATTTTCAGGGTACCATAATGCGTCCCGGGGAAATGTACCTCAAAATTACAGAGGTAATAATGGGGGCCAGGGGGCTGTACCCCAATATTACAGAGGTAATTTAAGGGTTTTCCCGGGACTGTACCCGGGCATTACAGAGGTTTCATAAATTTGGGGCCAGGGCTGTACCTCAACATTCAGAGGTTTCCTAATGGTCCAGGGACGTACCCCAAATTACAAAAAAGGGACATAATGGGTTCCCCGGGACTGTTCTCAACTTTTCAGAGGGAAAATAATGGGTTTCCCGGGGCTGTACCCCCAAAATTACAGGGTTTCATAATGGGTCCAGGGCCCGTAACCCCAACATTACAGAGGGGACATAATGGGGTTTCCCAAAGGGCTGCACCCCAACATTCGAGGTACATAAAGGGGGCCCGGGACTGGGACCTCAACATTACAGAGGTACATAAAGGGTTCCCGGGAAATGTACCTCAACATTACAGAGGTAATAATGGGGGGCCAGGGACTGTAAACCCCAAAATTACAGAGGTTTCATAATGGGGTCCCGGGGCTGTACCCCAAAATTACGAGGTACATAATGGGGGCCAGGGGGCTGCACCCCCAAAAATTTTCAGAGGTACATTTTTGGGTTTCCCGGGCTGTCCCCCCAAATTACAGGGGGGTACATAATGGGTTAGGGACTGTACCCCAACATTACAGAGGTACATAATGGGGGCCAGGGACTATACCTAACATTACAGAGGTATAAAGGGGGCCAGGGACTGTACCTCAACATTACAGAGGTACATAATGGGGGCCAGGGACTGTACCTAAAATTTTTCAGAGGGAACATAATGGGGCCAGGGGGCTGTACTCAACATTACAGAGGTACATAAAAGGGTTTCCCGGGCCCGTACCTCAAATTACAGGGGGTACATAATGGGTCCAGGGGAAATGTACCTCAAAAAATTTCAGAGGTACCTTTAAGGGGTCCAGGGACTGTACCTTTAACATTACAGAGGACGTTTAAAGGGTACAGGGACGGGACCTCAACCCTTTCAGGGGGTCCTAAGGGGGCCAGAGACTGTACCTCCATTACAGAGGACATAATGGGTTTCCCGGACTGTACCCCAACATTACAGAGGGCATAATGGGTCCCGGGACTGTACCTCAAAAATTACAGAGGTTCATAATGGGGGCCAAAGGGGTGTACCTAACATTTCGGGTTCATAATGGGGGCCAGGGAGTACCTCAACATTACAGAGGTACATAATGGGTCCCGGGGGCTTTTACCTCAACAAATTTCAGGGTTTCTAAAAGGGTCCAGGGACGTACCTCAACATTTTCAGAGGGGACATAATGCGTCCCGGGATGTACCTCAACATTACGAGGTACATAATGGGTCCAGGGGGCTTTCCTCAACATTAGAGGTCTAATGGGTCCGAGGCCCGTTTCCTCAACAATTAAATGAGGGACCCTAATGGGTCCCGAGATGTACTCCAAAAATTTCGAGGTACATAAGGGTTTTCCGAGACTGTACCTTTTTCATTACAGAGGTTTCATAATGGGGGGCCGGGGGCTGGGCCACAAAATTTTTTGTAGTGAACTAAGTACAAAGGTAATGAACTCACAAGTTACAAAAGGGAAGGGAAAACTGTAAGAATGGTTACTTAAAGTTTAACCTGGTTCGCATGAACAAAATTTTAGAGTAAGGGGCAATTCACACTTCCCCACCCCGGGCACAATGTTGTGAGTTATTGGGCAAATAATTTATTTTTGGGGTCACACACACACACCCACAAAACACACGGGTGTATTTGGGGCAGTGAAGCAGCAGCCCGATTGGGGTTTTACCAGGGTGTTTGTGTCTAAACCCGGGGGAAAGATTGAAAGCCCATGAGGAAGTTAATAAGTTTAAACAAGAGGAGCCTCACAACAGCTGGATGCCCAGCAGTAAGGGAGCCCCCCCAGCTATGCAGATCTGATGGCACCCAGAAAGCGCCCCAGAGGGTATCACCCTTCAACCCTGGACAGATGGGAAGCCGGTGGTGTGGGACTATAATGTGATTCCCTTGGTGTCCCTATCCCAAATACCCCAGGGGGGAAAGGGGAGGGGCAGCTGCCAGTTTCAGGGAGCCCCAAAAAGTCTAGAAAATATGGGAATTTCCCCCATAAATTATTTTTGTTTGTTCCCATGGGCTCAGAGACCCTTGGCTCAGGGGGGAAAGAGGGCATTAATTTCCCTTTTAAGGAGGGGGAAAAAAAAGGATCATCAGGGTAACTAGGGATCCCAGGGCAGTATTTTTCTGTTCCAGCGACTCAGCGCGGGCTTTTTCAGGGGGGGTAATGCCTACTGTATTTTGGGCACCCCCCCACCCTCTGAGGAGTGGATGTGTTTTTTTCAAATTATAATCAGAAAACAAACACGTAACAACATGTATAGACATTTCTCTCCCCACCTCATGTACGGGTTATGCCTTTTTTATATCAACAATGAATCTTTTAAAATTTTTTTTGCTCCATATTATGTAAAAAAATTTATACATATTGGAAAAAAATAAAAAAGATGGGGTGGCGGGGAAAAGTGGAATATTAAAAACGGCGTCAGGAAAAAAATCCAGTTTTCCCCCTTTGAACCCTTTTTATCCAGTTAAATATATATATATATATATAAATATAAAATATTTTTTTTTATTTTTTTTTCCACGGGGGGGCCGGGATTCCCACCAAGGCAGGGGGGCCCCAAAAAAGGGAAAAACTTTCACCATCATTCACTCCACCCCCTGTCTTCCCAGAAGGGTGTTTTACACTACATTTTTTAAAACTGAAAAAAATTAACACCCCCCCTTCAGGTGCAGGCACGTATTTTCCCATCTCCGGACTAAAAGCCCGGGCCCCGGGGGGGTTTCCCTGAACCCCTTCCCTAAATTTTTTCTTTGTCACACTCCAACAGCACGTCAAGTTTTAAAAAACCTTTTGTTCCATTCACCCCTATCAAACACGTTTCACGCATGCCTGCTGGAAGCCCAAACCCCCTGCACAAAAAAACCCCCTTTACCCCCCCCTCCCCCCTTTCCCTACCCGGGAACCCCAAACCCCCCCTTTCCCTTCCACACAGATGATACACTTTTGAAGTCATTCTTTTTCCCCTCCATTCTCTTACATGTCCGAACCACCTCAAAAAACCCCTTTCCCCTCACCCTCTGGACAACATTTTTTTGGAAATTTCCCAAACACCCCCCTCCTAACTTCCAAACTACGAATTCTCTGCATTTTTATTCAAAACCCCCACTTGCCCTAGAATGACATCCCCACGGGCCTCCACCCTTCTCCCGCGGGCAACATTCATCCCCCACGCTTCACCCCCCATAAAAGACCCCTTTTGGTAAAACAAATACTCTCAAAAATTTTCCCCTCTTTGCCCCCAAGGCCCAAAGTTCTTTTTCTCCCCCGACTCCTAAGTGCACCACTCACTTTTTTTTCCCCTTCAATTCTTATTACCTCATTTTTTTTTTAGACCCATCCGCTGACACGTCCCCCCCAAAATATCTGAATTTTTCACCTCCCCCATACTTTTTCCCCCTCCAATCTGTTATTCAATTTTTTCATCACCAAATCTTTTTTGTTATCCCCCAAAACCCTTTACTTTTTCCCTTAAATTCTCCCTTTTAATTTTTTTTTTTTCCCAAAACCCTACCAAATTCACCCCCCAATCTCGCAACTTCCCCTTCAGAATCCCCCAAAGAGCACAGTGTAAACAGCAAAGGCAGTTTGTGACAACTCCCACTTTGTGTGTGATTCTTTATCTTTTAACCCCAACCCCTCTTGCCAAGCCCCCTCGCTTTTACTTCTCTTAAAACCCCATCAAAAAAATTTATTTTAAAACAACCAGGGTTGAAAATCACACATTTTGTCAAAGGGCCCTACTTTTGGGGGGAAAAAAAATTTCCCCTTTTTCCCAATACTCAAACTTGAGCCCACTTCCTCTTTAAAAATCTTCACGTTTTTCCGTAACCTACCTCTACACCTCCCATTTTCCCAAACATCTCCCACATTCCCCCCCTTACCCACCCTGTCATAGGGCCTTTTCCAAATCCAAAAAAGCCCCCAAAGACATCTTTAGCTTATTAAAACTGTTAAACTTAAAATTTTTCCCACTGTAAAACCTGGTCCCACACCCCTCCCTTTTCCCAAAAAAGGCCCCCTTTGTTCATTGCTATCCTATTCTCCGTCTTACTCTTAATTCTTTAAAATTATAACTCTACCATAAAACTTTACCGGGTTTACACTAAACCCGATTACCCCCCTTAAAAATTTTTTGCATTTCTTTTTATCCCCTTTGCCTTTAAAAAAAAGGGAAAAATATGCTGCTTCGCATCCCATATATTATATATATTTTATATTTATATATTTTTAAATATATATAAAAAAAATATAAAATTATAAATATATATATATATATATATATATATATTTTTAATATATAAAATTATATATATATAAATATTTTTTGTGTGCCAAATGGGTTAAAATTGGTCACTTAAAAAGAATCATGACATGTATTTTTGTCGTTAGGTTCAGAATGATTTTTGCGAAATTATTGCTTTACAAAAATTTTTTTGGGTTCCCATTTTCGCAAAAAGAGCGTTGCTATTTAATAAAATAGCAATTTTTTACCAGTAAATAAGTATGTCACAATTTTCCAAATAATCAGGGTAAAAAGAATAGTTTTTTCCCCAGGAGCTTTTGTAATTTCTTACATAGATAGAAAAATTAGATGTTAGTAGTGATGTGTATTTTTTAAAGAAAAAGGGGACAAAGTGAAACTAATGGACATTTTTTTTTTGGCAACGTTTCGCTCTCCAGGAGCTTTATCAAGCCATTACATTTTTGTCGGAAAATTCTCCCAAACTTTTTTACAATGTATATTTGTCTTCTACAGCGTCGCCGTCGTGAAAATTTGTTTCCCGGGGTGGGTAGACCCGTCGGGTTCCTGAAAAGGGGGGAAGCAAGAGGGGGCACCCCCAGTGGATCCCCGGGGTTTGGGGGTAGAAAAACCCCCAAACCCCAGGACACTGGGCACTTCCTTCTTCGGCTATGTTCCTGATCCCTTTGTGGGAAGGGATTTCCCTTCCTCCCCTCTAAAGAGAGGCTCTAGCAAGGTGGGTTCCCCTTTTCCCGCCCCTGAGAGAGGTACTGGGAAAAGGTGGTCCCCTTCCTCCCCCTCTGAGGAGGTACTAGAAAGGGTTTTGGGGGGGTCCCCCTTCCTGCCCTTGAGAGAGTTACTAGCAAGGTAGGTCACCCTTCCGGGCCCTTGAGAGAGGTACTAGCAAGGTTATTTCACCCTTCCTGCCCTCTAGGGGAGGTACTAGAAATTTTAGGTCACCCTTCCTTGCCCTTGAGAGATTTACTAGAAAGGTGGGGGCACCCTTCCTCCCCTTCTGAGAGGGGTTTACTAGAAGGTAGTTCCCCCTTCCTCCCCTCTGAGAGGGGGACTAGAAGGGTTTAGTTCACCCTTCCTCCCCCTTTTTGAGAGAGGTACTAGCAAGGTGGGGTCCCCCTTCCTGCCCTAGAGAAGTTTTACTAGCAAGGTAGGTCCCCCTTCCTGCCCTCTGGGGGAAGGAAACTAGCAAGGTAGTTCCCCCTTCCGCCCTCTGAGAGAGGTATAGAAAGGTAGGTCACCCTTCCTCCCCTCTGAGAGAGGTATAGCAAGGTAGGTCACCCTTCCTGCCCTCTGAGAGGGGCTCTGCAAGGGGTAGGTCATCTTCCTGCCCTCTGAGAGAGGTACTAGCAAGGTAGGTCACCCTTTCGGGCCCTCTGAGGGGTTTACTAGCAAGGGTTACCCTTCCGGGCCCTCTGAGAGGGGAAAATGAAAGGGTGGTCCCCTTTTCCTGCCCTCTGAGAGGGTACTAGGGTTAGATAAACCCTTCCTCCCCTCGGGAGGAGGTTTACTAGAAGGTAGGTCACTTTTTCCTCCCCTCTGGGGAAAAGGGTACTAGCAGGTAGGTCCCCCTTTCCCCTGCCCTCTGAGAGGGTACTGCAAGGAAAGGCCCCCACCCTTTCCTCCCCTCTGAGAAGAGGTATACCCAAGGGGTCCCCCTTCCCTCCCCTCTGGAGAGGTACTAGCAAGGTAGGCCCACCCTTCCCCCTTTCTGAAAGGGGTTTTATTAGAAAGGGTTTGGGTCACCCTTTTTCCCCTTTCTGAGAGAGGAAATAGCAAGGTAGGTAAACTTTTCCCGGGGCCCTTGAAGAGGTACTAGCAAGGTAGGTCCCCCTTCCTGCCCTCTGAGGGAGGTCTAGCAAGGTAGGTCCCCCTTTTCCTCCCCTTCTGAGAGGGTTTATTTAGAAAGGGTGGGGTCATCCTTCCTGCCCTTTTGGGGAGAGGTACTAGCAAGGTAGGTCACTTCTTCTTCCCCCTCTGAGAGGGGTTACTAGAAGATAGGTCCCCTTTCCCTGCCCTCTGAGAAGGACTGAAAGGGTTTAGGTCCCCCTTCCTCCCCTTCTTTTTAGGAGGTACTAGAAAGGGGGTTTCCCCTTCCTCCCCCTCTGGGGGTTTAAAAGGGCAAGGTAGGTCCCCCTTTTTGCCCTCTGGGAGGGGGGTACTAGCAAGGTAGATCACTCTTGCTCCCCTTGAGAGAGGTACTAGCAAGGTAGGTCCTCTTCCTGCCCTTGAGGGGGTTTATTTGGCAAGGTAGGTCCCCCTTCCTCCCCTTTTGAAAAAGGGGTACTAGAAAGGTAGGTCACTTTTTCCTGCCCTCTGAGAGGGTTTACTAAAAAGGTAGGTACCCTTCCTGCCCTTGAGAGGGGGTAGCAAGCAGGTCACTCTTTTTTTCCCTTGAGAGAGGGTTACTGGGAAAGGGTAGGTCCCCCCTTCCCTGCCCTCTGAGGGGGAAACTAGCAAGGTAGGTCCCCCTTCCCCCCTTTTGAGAGAGGAAATAGAAAGGTAGGTCCCCCTTTCTGCCCTTAAAGGAGGGGTTTTAGAAAGGTAGGTCCCCCTTTCCTCCCCTTCTGAGGAGGAAAACTATAAAGGGGTGGGTTTCCCCCTTCCTGCCTCTGAGAGAGGTACTAGCAAGGTAGGTAAATCTTCCTGCCCTTGAAAAGGGTTTTACTAGCAAGGTAGGTCCCCCTTCCTGCCCTTGAGAGGGGTATAGCAAGGTAGGCCCACTCTTCCTGCCCTCTGAGAGAGGTACTAGCAAGGTAGGTCCCCCTTTCCCTGCCCCTGGAGAGGAAATAGCAAGGAAATTTCCCCCTTTCCCTGCCCTCTGAGAAAAGGAAATAGCAAGGGGAGGTCCCCCCTTTCCGCCCTCTGAGAGAGGTTTTTTGAAAGGTGGGTTTCACCCTTTCTCCCCCTCTGAGGAGGTCCAGAAGGTAGGTCACCCTTCCCCCTTGGGGGGTTTATAGAAAGGGTTTGGTAAACCCTTTCCCTTTCCCCCTTGAGAGAGGCTTGCAAGGTGGGTCCCCCTTTCCCCTGCCCTCTGAGAGAGGTACTAGAAAGGGTAGGTCCCCCCTTCCCTCCCCTCTGAGAGAGGTACTAGCAAGGTTGACCCCTCTTGCTGCCTCTGAGGGGGGACTAGCCGGTAGGTCACTTTTTTCCCCCCTCTGAGAGGGTATTTGGAAGGTAGGCCCACCCTTCCTCCCCCTCGAAAAAGGTTTACTAGCAAGGTAGGTCGCTCTTCCTCCCCTTGGGAGAGAGGAAATAGAAAGGTAGGTCACCCTTCTGCCCTCTAAAGGATTTTATAGAAAGGTAGGTCACTCTTCCCCCACTCTGGAGGGTACTAGCAAGGTAGGTCACCCTTCCTGCCCTCTGGGGAGGGTACTAGCAAGGTGGGTTTCACCCCTTCCCTCCCCTCTGGAGAGGGTAATAGCAAGGTAGGTCCCCCTTTTTTCCCCTCGGGAGAGAGGTTTAAAAAGGGTAGGTCCCCTTTTCCTCCCCTCTGAGAGGGGGTTCTGCAAGGTAGGTCCCCCTTTCCCTCCCCTCTAAGAGAGGGAAACTGGGCAAGGTAGGTCCCCCTTCCTCCCCCTCTGAGAGAGGTACTATAAAGGTAGGTCACCCTTCTCCCCTCTGAGAGAGGTACTAGAAGGTAGGTCATTTCTTGTCCCCCTCTGGAGGGGTTTAACTAGAAAGGGTTTGGGGGTCACCCTTCCTGCCCTTGAGAGAGGTATAGCAAGGTAGGTCCCCCTTTCCCGCCCTCGGAAGAGGGTACTAGCAGGGTTTAGGTCCCCCCTTTCCCTGCCCCCCTGAGAGAGGGTATTTACCCAAGGTAGGTCACTTTTCCTCCCCTCTGAGAAGGTACTGGGAAAGGGTTTAGGTTCCCCTTTCCCTCCCCCTTCTGAGAGAGGTACTAGCAAGGTAGGCCACTTTCCCTGCCCTCTGGGGAGAGGTGGAAAGGTAGGTCCCCCTTCCTCCCCTCTGAGAGGGTCTAGCGGTAGTCACCCTTCCTGCCCTCTGAGAAAAGGTTACTAGAAAGGTAGGTCCCCCTTCCTCCCCTCTGAGAGGGAACAAAGCAAGGTAGGTCCCCCCTTCCTACCTTCTGAGAGAGGTATAGCAAGGTAGGTCCCCCTTTCCTGCCTTCTGAGAGAGGTTATACCCCCAAGGTAGGTCCCCCCTTTCCTCCCCTCTGAGAGAGGTTTTAGCAAGGTAGGTCCCCCTTTCCCTGCCCTCTGAGAGAGGGTACTGGAAAAGGTAGGTCACTTTCTTGCCCTTGAGAGAGGTACTAGAAAGGTAGGTCACCCTTCCTCCCCTCTGAGAAAACTTTAACTAGCAAGGTAGGTCATTTTTCCCTTTTTTGGGCCCTTTTTTGAGGGGAGGTACTACCCAAGGTGGGTTTCCCCCTTCCCTGCCCTCTGAAGAAAAGGTTTTACTACAAGGAAGGTAAACCCTTCCTGCCTTTTGAGAGAGGTACTACCCACGGTAGGTACCTTCCGGGCCCTCTGAGAGAGGTCTAGCAAGGTGGGGTCACTTTCCTCCCCTTTGAGAGAGGTACTAGCAAGGTGGGTCCCCCTTCCCTCCCCTTTGAGAGGGGGTTACTAGCAAGGTGGGGCATTTTTTTCCTGCCCTCGGGAGAAAAGGGTATCTAGAAAGGTAGGTCCCCCTTTCCCTCCTTCTGAGAGAGGTATGGGGCAAGGTGGTAAACCCTTTCCCTCCCCTTGAGAGAGGTACTAGAAAGGTAGGGTCACCCTTCTCCCCTTTGAGAGAGGTATAGCAAGGTGGGGTTCATCTTCTTCCCCTCTGAGAGAGGTATGAAAAAGGTAGGTACCCTTCCTGCCCTCTGAGAGGGTTAGAAAGGTAGTTTCATTTTTTCCCTGCCCTCTGAGAGAGGTAAAAAAAAGGGTTTTTAGGTCACCTTTCCTGCCCTCTGAGAGAGGAACAAAGAAAGGGTTTAGTTCACCCTTCCTGCCCTCTGGGGAGGGGGGGTTACGGGAAAGGTAGGTCACCCTTTGCCCTCGGGAAAGATATACTAGAAGGTAGGTCACTTTCCTCCCCTCTGGGGGGAGGTACTAGAAAGGGTAGGTACTTTTCCCTCCCCTCTGAAAAGAGGTCCTAGCAAGGTAGGTCACCCTTCCTGCCTCTGAGAGAGGTACTAGAAAAATTTAGATCACTCTTGCTGCCCTCTAGGAGGAAACTGCAAGGTAGGGCATCTTCCTGCCCTCTGGGGAGAGGGTACGGGCCCAAGGTAGGTCCCCCTTCCCCCCCTTTGGAGAAAGGTACTGCAAGGAAAGGTTCACTCTTCCTGCCCGGAGGAGGGTATAAAAAGGTGGTCCCCCTTTCCCTCCCCCTCTGGAGAGGTACTAGCAAGCTGGGGTCACTCTTTTTTTCCCTCTGGAGGGGTTACTAGAAAGGTGGGTCATCCTTCCTGCCCTTGAGAGGGGTTTACAGAAGGGGAGGTCACCCCCCTGCCCTCTGAGGGGGTCCTAGGAAAGGGTTAGGTCCCCCTTTTTCGCCCTCTGAGAGGGGTTTTCTGAAAGGGGTGGGGGTCCCCCTTCCCGCCCCCCTGGAGAGGTATTTATAAAGGGTTTAGGTCACCCTTTGCCCCCCTGAGAGGGTTACTAGCAAGGTAGGTCATCTTCCTGCCCTTGAGGGGGTACTAGCAAGAAAAAGGTCCCCCCCTTCCTCCCCCTTGGAAGAGGTCCTAGCAAGGTGGGGTCCCCCTTCCTCCCTCTGAGAGAGGTAAAAGCACGGTAGGTAAACCCCTTTCCTTGCCCTTGAGAGAGGTATAGCAAGGTAGGTCACTTTTCCCTGCCCTCTGAGAGGGTATAGGGGGGTGGGTTACCCTTCCGGGCCCTCTGGGAGGTACTGGGCAAGGTAGGTCATTTTCCCTTTGCCCTTTTAGAGAGGTGTTTAGCAAGGTAGGTCACCCTTCCTCCCCTTTGAGAAAAGGGTATAGAAAGGGTTAGGTCCCCTTTCCTGCTCTTGAAAAGGGGTACTAGCAAGGTAGGTCACCCTTCCTGCCCTCTGAGAGAGGTACTAGAAAGGGGTAGGTCACCCTTCCTCCCCTCTGAGAGGGGGTACTAGCAAGGTAGGTCACTCTTCCTCCCCCTCTGGAGAGGTACTGGGGCAAGGTAGGTCCCCCTTTCCGGCCCTTGAGAGGGGTTTCTAGAAAGGGTAGGTCCCCTTCCTGCCCTCTGAGAGGGGTTTATAGCAAGGTAGGCCCACCCTTCCTGCCCTTGAGGGGGGGTTACTGGGAAGGTGGTCCCCCTTTCCCTCCCCTAGGAGAGGTATAGAAAGGGTAGGTCATCTTGTCCCCTTAAAGAGAGGAAATAGCAAGGTAGGTCACTCTTCCTCCCCTCTGAGAGAAGGTACTGCAAGTAGGTCACCCTTCCTGCCCTCTGAGAGAGGTCTAGAAAGGAAAGGTCACTTTCCCCCCTTTCTAAAGGGGGTTTACTAGCAAGGTAGGGGTCACCCTTCCTGCCCTCTGAGAAAAGGTATAGAAAGGTAGGTAAATTTCCTGCCCTCTGAGAGAGGTACAGAAGGGTTTAGGTCCCCCTTTTCCTGCCCTCTGAGGAAGGTACTAGAAAGGGAAAGGTCCCCTTTCCCTGCCCTCTGAGAGGGGTTTACTAGCAAGGTAGGTCACCCTTCCTCCCCTCTGGGAAGGTTTAGAAAGGTAGGTCCCCCTTTTTTTGCCCTCGAGGGGGTACTAGCAAGGTGGTCCCCCTTCCTCCCCTCTGAGAGAGGTACTAGAAGGTAGGTCACCCTTCCTGCCCTCTGAGAGAGGTACAAAGCAAGGTAGGTCCCCCTTCCTGCCCTCTGAGAAGTACTAAAGGTAGGTCCCCCTTTCCCGCCCTCTGAGAGGGTTACTAAAAGGGTTTGTCACTTTTGCTCCCCTCTGAGGAGGAAATAGAAAGGTAGGTAAATTTTTTCTGCCCTCTGAGAGAGGAAACGGGCCCAAGGTAGGTCACCCTTCCTCCCCTCTGAAAAAGGTACTAGAAGGGGTAGGTCGCTTTTCCCCATGCCCTCTGAGAGAGGTACTGCAAGGTGGGTTCCCCCTTCCTGCCCTTGAGAAAAAGGGTACTAGAAAGGTAGGTCCCTTTTTCCTTCCCTCTGGAAAAGGTACTAGAAAGGGTTTTAGGTCCCCCCTTTCCCTGCCCTTGAGAGGGGGTACTAAAAAGGTAGGTCCCCCTTTCCCCTCCCCTTTCTGAGGAGGGGTTTACTAGCAAGGTGGGGTCACCCTTTTGCCCTTGAGAGGGGTTTTCTAGCAAGGTAGGTCACCCTTTCCCTGCCCTTGAGAGGGGGTACTAGCGGGGGTGGGGCACCTTCTGCCCTTGAGAAAAGGTATAGCAAGGTAGGCCCCCCTTCTCCCCTCTGAGAAAAGGTTTACAATCATGGGTGGGGCCCACCCTTCCTGCCCCCCTGAGAAAAGGTTTCTAGCAAGGTAGGGTTCATTTTTCCCTTTGCCCTTGAGGGGGGGACTAGAAAAGGTAGGTCACCCTTCCCCCCTTGAGAAAAGGTACAAAGAAGGGTTTAGGTCCCCCTTTCCCTCCCCCTTGAGAGAGGGTACTAGCACGGTAGGTCACCCTTCCTGCCCTCTGAAAAGAGGTTACTAGAAAGGGTTTGGTTTCACTTTTTCCTGCCCTCTGAGAGGGGTTTTTAACCCCAAAAAGGGGGTGGGGTTACCCTTCCTGCCCTCTGAGAGAGGGTATTTGAAAGGTAGGTCATCTTCCTCCCTCTGAGAGAGGTGCTGAAGGTAGGTCCCCCTTTTCCTGCCCTCTGAAAAGGGGGGGTGCTAGAAAGGTAGGCCCCCCCTTTTCCTTTGCCCTTGAGAGAGGGTACAAAAAAAGGGTAGGTCCCCCTTCCTGCCCTCGGAGAAAAGGTTTCTAGCAAGGTAGGTCCCCCTTTCCCGGCCTTCTGGGAGGGTATAGCAAGGTGGGTTCCCCCTTTCCTGCCTTCTGGAGAGGTATTTAGAAGGTAGGTCCCCCTTTCCCTGCCCTCTGGGGAAGGGGTTTTACTTAACCCCAAGGTGGGGTCCCCCTTCCCGGGCCCTTGAGAGGGGGGTACTACAAGGTGGGAAAAATCTTCTTCCCCTCTGAGGGGGTTTACTAGA